GAGGAGCAGCCACCTCCTCTGACTCTGCTCCATGCCCTAAGACACTTTGAGCTCAGCGTCCCCAGCCTTGCTCACCTTTTTCATGATGGGATGGCACTGCTTCCCACAGGACTCAAAGAAAATCTCCAGCACCAGCAGCACATCGGCCCACGCTGCATGAAAACGATACGTCAGGCCATCTTCCACGGCCCTGGTGAAAAAGAGGGGGAGATGGTGACATTGGCACAGCACAAGGCAGTGCTGACACTGCCCGTGCCAACCAGGACCTGCCAGCAGTGATCAAGGACCAGGCAGAAGCCGGTGAGAGCTCAGCTGGGCCTATGGGGAGAGTCTTTCCCATASCCCAGTGATCCTCACCTGAACATCTTGCAGAGGTAAGAGCCAGGGGCTGGGGCAGAGGCAGAGACGGTGCCTACATCGCCCATGTAGGGAGCAACACAGTCACTCAGGAGGTTCTGTGGTAGCCAAGGAAAGGAGGATTAGCAGTAGGGACTGTGGGCACAGAGGGGCAAGTCCAAGCACAGAGCAGCCCACTGCTTCCACACAAGCCCCAAAATCCTAGATGGAGACCCCAGCCTGGCCTCCAGGAAAGACCAGCTCGACTGTCCCCCCACCAACAGGAAGACGTGCATGGGAACAGTAAGTACCTCAAGGGTCTGTGCTGCAGTTGACACCACCTGGGAGTGCGGGGACAGGAAGCAATTCATGGCGGTGGAGAAGAGCCGGGGCAGATGAGCCCAGCACAGGTCCTTCTGCAGCCTGGGGGAGAGAGAGTCCAGGCCAGTGAGACACAGAGCCCGCCCTGGCAGCCTCTGCTCGCTGCCTAGCAGCAGCCCGTGCCCGTACCTGCTCAGGTTGGTGTGTGCCCTCTCCATGGTGGACAGCCAGGTCACCAGTGGCTGCAGGTCATTCACGCTGGGCACGTAGTCGTACAGGGCCTGGGGAAGCAGAGGGTGGGTGTGTGCGGTGGTCACACCAGCCCTGTCCCTCCCCCTCTGGCACCCTGCACTCACTGTGATGATCTGGGCGTTGAGCTCGGCTGGCAGGCAGGACGAGCTGGCCTGGGCACCAAAGAGGCTGTAGAAGGCCTGCATGGCACATGCTGTCACCAGCTGCAAAGGAAAAGGTGTCAGGACAGCAGGCTCTGGGACAGACGGTGCCTCCTTTGCCCCTTCTGCTTCCGTATCTCTATAAAAGCTTTGCCCAAGCCAGCCCCATGGAAAACCCTGACCCCATTGCCTCTGTGCCCCATCTAGCCATGGCCTCCSTCTTTGATGTCAGCCAGGCCACCACACATCAACTGCTCCGGAGGCTCCTCTGTATTTGGTTCCTGTATTTACAGGGTGCACAACTTCCCACAGCAGCCAAGGGAGCCTGAGACCTTACAGGRCGCAAGTCAACAGCTCTGGCACAGGGCCTGCCCCCTTCCCCGCCCAACAGCTTCATGCTGGGCACAGGACACTCACCACGTGGCTGAGGGTCATGACTCTGAGCAAGGTTTCGCAGCAGGTCTTCACCATGGCCGCAGGGAAGCAGGGCAGCAGGTCCCTCAGCAGTGTCAGGACGTGCAGGGTGGTAGTGGCCTCCTTGGCACCTGTGGGAGCAGAGCAGGGCCTGAGCTCACAGCACCCTGCAGCACCGGTGCTGCACGAGGCAAAGGCTCTGTGTCAGACCTGCAATCTAATGGATAAACCCACCATGCCTTTAGGAAGGGTGGAGCAATAGAGAGGTGGCTGAAAGCCCTGCAAAACATCTCTGGATCCTCTGCATGATCCCACACTCTCCCCAGCACCGGGAGCCCTAGCACAGGGATCCGGGGCCCTGCACATTGCCCTGTCCCCAAATGCCATCATGTCCCCATCCCGCGTGGCCACAGGATGCTCCACACCTCTCTGCAGCTACAAGACCCCTTGCTCCAGTGTCCCCTACCTCCAGCTTTCTCAATCTCTCGCACGCAGAACTTGGCGGTGGATGGAGCCRCGGGATGATGGGCAGGGGCTGCGTCACCAAACATGAACTCGCTGCCCTTCAGGACGCAGCACACGCCGTACTGAGCTGCCTTCCGAACCTGCGCGAGGGAACACGCGGCTGGGCGGGAAGCACCGACCCTGGGAGCAGGGCCAGCCCCAGGACTGAGCCCAGAGGCAACGTCGTCCCTCACCCACACAGACCCGTAGAAGGGGCTCACCTTGGGCTTGGCGTGGACGCAGAAGCTGAGCAAGCCGTGATAGACCTGGAGCGTGACAGGGTAGCTCCAGGCTGCCAGGTCCTGCTTCCGCAGCAGGGTGGCCAGGCAGGAAAGRACCTGTGAGGGGACAGCAGCAGGGACATTAGTGTCACCTCTTAGGACCCCCAGTCCCCAGAACTGCAACAGCCCCAAGATGAGCAGGCAGCACCACCCACAGCAGCCRGCTGAGCTCCAACTCCCAAGCAGCCACCCCACCCCAAGCCCCACGGGCACCAGGACACCACAGAGCTGGCACTGCTCGCTGACCCTGCGCCTACTCACCCATCGGAGGGCAGAGGTAGAGCCACTGCAGGCCTGCGAAGACAGAATGCTCATGAAGGCTTTGGACGCGTCTGAGAACTTTTTCACGAGTACAGGGCTTGGGACACTGTGGAGAGGAGCGGGAGCATCAGCAGGGCACAGACCAGACCACTGGCAGCAGGTTGTACACATGGAACTGTGTGGCAGGCACACAGCCTGCCGAGGTCCAGTCCTTCCCCAGCACAGCAYGGGGGCAGACAGTACCAGCCGCTTCCCCAGAATGAGGACCTGGCCTGGGCAGCTTTCCCTGCCCTCTGCCTGGGCACTCACCGCTTTAGGACCAGGTTGAGCAGGTAGGCAACAGCAGCCAGAGACTCAGGGGACTCCACTGCCTCCAGCGTGGTCATCTGGGAACAGAGGAGGAGTGAGAAAAAGCATCCAGGATGGCCACCACCAGCCACACGACAGACAGCAATAGCTGGCTGAGCACCAGGAGCAGCCCAGCAACCTCTCTGCTCGTGAAGGGTGCCCAGAGCCTTGCAGACATGGACAACAGCACCTTCCAGCCCCATTCCCAAGTGCGCAGGTCACCATGTGCACATCTTAGCTGCCACGAGCTCCCTGAATGTCTCCTTGCCCGAGTCACTCACCAGTGCAGCGAAGTACTCGGTCTCGCTCTCCTTGCCGCCCTGCGAGCGGATCACCTCCGTGACCGCCGCCAGCACCGCGCAGATCTAGGCAAGCGGCGAGAGGAGCGGGTCAGTCCTCTGAGCCCAGCGGGCTGCGGGAGCGCCCGGGGGCCGTCCCCGCACCCAGCCCCGCTCCCCCGGTACCTCCTTGTGGGCGGCAGAGTTGGACTCCCAGAAGCGCTGCACCTTGCTGAAGGTGGCGTTGGTGCAGTCGCTCAGCCCGCTCAGGAAGGTGCCCGAGGACTTCTCGGTGGCGGCCTCGGCGCCCTCCTCCTCCTCCTCCTCCTCCATGCAGAGCTGGGCGCTGTCGCTCACGCGGCCCACGCGCGGCGCCCCCGACTGCAGCTCATTGTGCAGCTTCACCGCATCCACCGTCAGGCTGCTCTTCCCTGCCAGGGAAGGAGAGGGGCCCTGAGCACCAGCGCGGCACACACGCGCCCCTCGCCTCCGCTGCCGCCACGGCGCCCGGTCCCCCCGGCCCCTGCTAGGCCCGAGGCGCAGGCCGCGCCCGGGCCGCTCACCCGCGGGCCGGCTGTAGAAGCGGCTGCGCGCGGCCAGGCGGTGCTGGCGGCTCTCGGGGTTGCAGTCGCTGCTGTGGCCCTTCCGCCAGCGCTTCAGCTTGGCGGCGGCGCCCGAGCGGAGCCGCCCGCACCGCGCCATGCTCGCCCGTCTCCACGTGCCCGCCCCGCGCCGCTTCCGCCCGGCCGCGAGCCCGCTTCCGCTGCCCGGCGCCATCTTGGTTGAGGGCAGGGCTGCCTGCGGGCGGTGGCGGCTCCCTGGGGGTGAGTGGGGAGCGATGCCTGGGAAGCTAAGCAGGATCGCGCGTGATGACGGCTTAGATGGGAGACCACGGAACTTCACCATAGCAGAAGGGSCTGGGCTTGGACTGCACGAGTGGGGAGTGCCATGCAGGCTGTGAATGTGGGCTTGTGGGGACATGTGCAAGAGTTTGCTGAGCTAGCAAAACAGCTAGCTGAGCAAGACAGAATAAGTTTGCATCAGTACCTTGGGRAGCCGTTCAGCTTTCCTGATCCAGCATAGGCTCTTGTTATGATGCCTTCCTTGAAGGTCAACATAAAGGAAAACAAGGTAAGGAAGGATCCTGCACCTTCCTTGGGCACACTGGTTTTCTGGGCCCCAAGAGCCAGTGGCCCTATGATCCCTCAAAATGTACCAGCAGAAGCAGCTGGCACAGCACTTCTTGGCCCAGCCCAGCAAAGCCACAGAGATGTGGACACTTGGGGTCTCAGTCCTGSTCTCCAGCTTCTCCTGGATGTCAGGTGGGAAGCAGCCAGATCCCCTTTGCAACCTGTCACCCATTAGATCCCTTTTCCTCCCAAAGTAAGAATAGGAGAGCCTTTCTCTCTTGCCCAAGGTTTATTGCTTCTTGTGCGTTCCCCATTGCTCTGCCCTCTCAATCTGGGCTGCCAGGACCTGTACAAGCTCCTAGGGGCAGCACAAGATTTTCCACCAGAAGCTGCCCAAGCACAAGCAGAGAAGCTGGTACCAGCACAATAGCCGCAAGGGGCTGGTTGGGGTGTGCAGAGCCCTTAGTAGGGGAACAGCGGCCACGGCGGGGGTCTGCGGGCATTGTGAAGGGCGCCGCTACTCCGCGCACTACGGCGGCAGCCGCGCCGCGCCTCGCGCCATTACGGCGGCGGTGACGTCACGGCCGCCGAAGGTCGCGCCGCCCTTCGCGGCGGCGCCATGCGCTACGTGCGCCCTGGGCGGCCGCCGCTGCGCGCACGCGCGCCCCCTTCCGGCGGCGGCGGGCGGCTGCGCATGCGCGTGGCGCGGCGCGGCGGGGCGGGGCGGGGCGCGGGGGCCGCAGTCGCGCGCGGCGGCAGGAGCGGAAGCAGCGCGTGCGGAGCCCCGAGCCTAACGGTCCTAACGGTCGTAACAGCCGCGCCATGGCCGCCTACCGCCTCGTGCTCATCCGCCACGGCGAGAGCGCCTGGAACCTGGAGAACCGCTTCAGCGGCTGGTACGACGCGGACCTGAGCCCCGCCGGGCAGCAGGAGGCGCAGCGCGGCGGCGAGGCCCTGCGAGGTACCCGGCGGGGGCGGCACGGGACCGGCGGCGGGGGGGCCTGGTCACCGGCAGCGCGGGGCGGGAGGATGGGGCCGTCCCCGTGCGGGGCCCGGCCGCCTCCCGCGCCGCCGGGGAAGCGCGGCAGGGGAGGCGAGCGCCGGGGCTCCGCGGGCGAGGGCGGCCCGGGCCGCTCGCGCGCTGCCCTCTCCCCGGTTACATAAGCGCCGTGTCCTTCCCCTGCAGCCGCGCGGGCAGGCGCGGCCCGTGTGTGTGCGTGGCGTGGGCTGCGCCGGCCGCCSCCCCGCCGTGGGCACCGGTGCGGGCGATGCCGTGAGTCACGGGCCCATCCGCCGCACGTGCTCGGCTTCTTTGTGACCTGGAAATGTCCGTAGCCGGGGAATAGGGCCAGGAGGCCTCCAGAGCTCGCTCACTGYGCCCCAATGCAGAGGAGCAGTGAAGGGCAGAGGTGTTGGCCTGGTGCCTGGATCAGAGATGCTCTTTTTTTTCCGGCCTCTGCGTGGTGATGCTGCACGCTGATGTTTGTGGCTCCCATCTCTTTCAGAYGCTGGCTATGAGTTCGACATCTGCTTCACCTCCGTGCAGAAACGGGCCATCCGCACCCTCTGGACCGTCCTGGATGCCATCGACCAGATGTGGCTGCCTGTGGTGCGGACCTGGCGCCTCAACGAGAGGCACTACGGAGGGCTCACGGGCCTCAACAAGGCCGAGACGGCCGCTAAGCACGGAGAGGCCCAGGTGAAGATCTGGAGGCGCTCGTACGACATCCCTCCGCCTCCCATGCAGCCAGACCACCCCTTCTACAGCACCATYAGCAAGGTAAGGCAGGTTTTTCCAGCCACTCAGTCCTGTGGCTGGTCCCCTTTCCCTCAGGGAAGGGAGCTGGGTTGGGTGTTTCTGGTACTGCCCGCTGCTCCTGTCCATGTGGGGATGGCTGGTGCAGAGCTCGGCTCACCCTGCGCTGTCCCTGAGGAGGTTGAACCCCCCGGCATGGCACAGACTGATTCCAGGGGATTCACGTTAATCATTAGTCCTGTGACCAATATTTGGACGTTTGCGGTGGATAAAGAGAACAGAGGGTGGGAAGCACTGTCTTATCTAGGCAGGCATGATAGCCTGGAGCTGAGGTTTACCTCGAAGGCATTTCCCAGCCTGCAGTGGCCTTGTGCTGTTTGCTGTCCTGTTACAGCAGCAGCGACACTGGTGGCAGGAGCTGCAAGCCCAGCTCTGTATTTATGTCCGTCCTTGGGCCGAGCGCGGATGGGTGAAGGCCCTGACCTGCCCTTGCTCTGCCAGCTGGAGCTGCCCCTGCACGCTGGCTCCTAGATGAGCAGCAGGGGTGGGTTTGGGGCTGCTGTGTGAGAGTGGCTCTGCCGGCAGGACCGTCGCTACGCCGACCTGACTGAGGACCAGCTGCCAACGTGCGAGAGCCTGAAGGACACGATTGCCCGGGCGCTGCCCTTCTGGAATGAAGAAATAGTCCCTCAGATCAAGGAGGGCAAGCGGGTCCTTATTGCAGCCCACGGCAACAGCTTGCGRGGGATCGTCAAGCACCTGGAAGGTAGGTCAGCCCCGTCCATCCTCAGGGCGAGCAGGGAGCGCCTCGGTGCAGGGAGGGCTCCCCGCGAGCGGCTGCGCCCCTCYTTGCAGGCATGTCAGAAGAGGCCATCATGGAGCTGAACCTGCCCACGGGGATCCCCATTGTCTACGAGCTGGACAAGAACCTGAAGCCCATCAAGCCCATGCAGTTCCTGGGGGACGAGGAGACCGTGCGCAAAGCCATGGAGGCCGTCGCCGCGCAGGGCAAGGCCAAGAAATGAGGGTGGACGTGCGGGCTAGCAAGTGGTAGATGAGCCCCCTTCCCTCCCCGCCCCACCTGTGCACACACCCCACAGCCGTAGGAACTTGGAGCTGCAGAGCTGGAGCGGGGAGCAGCTTTCTGGGACCAGGCCCATTCCCGCCGGAGCAGGCTCCCCTCTGCAGCCAGCCGGGGAGCCTGTGCTCTGGGGACTGCCCGTGAACAGGCCTGGCGCGGGAGCAGGCGGTGCCCGCACGCGCTCTGCCCTACGCCATCCCCGCCCTCGGGCCTGCCTGCAGCGGGTGCTCCATCCCCCTCGCGCCYGACTCCTCCCGCGCTTTGCTCCCCGGCAGCTCTCGTCACTCACTTACTGTAACTGTAGTTCCGTTGCGTGATTCAGCCGTTCCAGGAGCCCTGCAGGAGCGGCAGTGCGAGTGCAGCACAGCCAGTGACCAAGAGGGGTGTTCCCTCCCAGCGTGGCTGTGCCACCACGGGACCAGGGTGTCTGTATGCTGAAAGGGTGTATCTTGGTGTGTGACCCACTGTGTTCCCGTGYTTCATACAGCACCCAACGGTGGTACGTGTCACTTTGGACCTAGCTCTACCAGCCCATGCTTCAACTTGCCGCCTTTGCACAAGGGCGAGGGAGGAAGCCTTGGTGCCTGGAGGCTCGTACTCTCATGAGCTTCCCCACGGCCCCAGCCCCTCCTCGTCCTGCTGCTTGTGTTGGTGAAGCAGGTGCTGTTGTGCCCCCTTCCACGYGTGTGTACGTGGCGCTGTCGCTGTGGCCTCCACCCTCCGCTGCCCTAGCGAGCCTAGGTCTGCACTGGGTCACTGTAACTGTCCAACCATAGCAGCTGTCTTGTTCCAGTTCAATAAAAGCAGTGATAGGCAAGGAGTGTGGGTGCCTGCAGCTTGTCCCCTGCTCCAGGGCCCCGGSGGGCTCCCTGCCTTGCCCCCTTGCCCTGCACTTCCCTGAGCCCCTGCTCTGSGTGGCAGCAGCAGCTGCTGCTCTGCGTACAGCAGGGTGCCCATGGACAGCTGAGCACAGCCCTGCCCTTGCTGGGGCAGGCAATATTCATGCTGCTGCATGGGTGCCTGCAGCACGTGTGCATGGGGTGTTGCTGGCGCAGGCGTGCAGCACTTCCCCTGCTCCTTCCTGCCCGGAACCACGTGGGATGCACATGGGGCGAGAAGGGAGCAAGCCTAGCTGTGACTGCCCTGGGCAGGTCAGCACCTGCCTCCCCCTGTCTGGGGGAAACTCGGATAGACTCTGACTCCCTGCAGGGAGCCCAGCCCTGCAGGGAAGGTACCCAGAGCCAGCGCAGCCTCCACTCCCCCTGGAGCTCCCTGCTGCTGCTCCTCACTGCAGCCAAGCTGCTGGGACGGCCTCCCTTGGCCCTGTGCTGCTGGCAGCTCTCACCCCCTGCCACRCTACGGCTGCTGCGCATGACACCAGCTGGAGTGCATCCTCCAGGCAGCCACGGAGCAGGAAGCTCTAGGAAAATATTTATTATGCACAGCACAAACACAACACGCAGCCCCGGAGTGAGGGCCTGGCCAGCTGCTGCAGCCTGTGGCGCTGAACGCAGCAGGCTCCAACCCAGGGGCTGCCKGGGCACCCCGGCTCCGGGAGGGCGGCTGTGGGCAAGGGCCAGCGCAGGCGCGCGGGCCGCTAGGTCTGCAGGAACTGGGGCTGCACGCGGGCCACCTTGCGGAAGTCCTTGGTGTGTGTCCGCGGGCACTGCATCTCGCACCAGCTGATGGGCACCATCTGCACCCCTGCGGGACACGASCGGCGGCTCTCGCCCTGGGCCCCGCTCTGCTCCTGCTCTGCGACCACCCACCCATCCCTCCTCCCAGTGCCCCGGGGCTCGGCAGCGCCCGGAGCAGCGTCAGCTGCTCCTGGTGGGGACGGGCAGCGGCGCCCGGTCTGCGCCCGCTCCTACCTGCCTCGCTGCGGGCCACCACCACCCCCAGCTCGTTCTCGGCCGTGCTCAGCAGGTAGTTGGACTGCGCGTCCCCCAGGGAGATCTGTGGGACACGCGTTAAGGGAAAGGCCCCAAGGGGATGGGAGCGCGTGAGGCCGGGCCCCGTGCAGGCCCTCCAGGAAAGGATACGACTTTGGCCAGGACGATGTCGCCAGGGCGGAAGCTCTTGTAGACCTCGACCTGCGCGGGAGGAGGAGGCCGCGGGCGGCCCGTGTGCGAGCCGGTGAGCGCGGGCACGGCGGCACGGGTGCCCACGGCACGAGCGCCTGTGCCCACGGACAGCAGGGAGCCTGGGGAGGCCGTGGCAGCCCCTCACCCACCTTGTCTTTCTCTGTGGCTCGGATATCTTCTTTCCTAGAGGAGACGGAGGGATGTGAGCAGCAGAGCGAGCGGCCAGGGCTGCCCCGCAGCAGGGGGTTCCCCACGAACACCCCCAGGAGCCGCTGGCTCCACGCGGGGCAGAGACCCCTCGCCCTACCGTATGGTGCCGCGGAAGGTGGACTTGAGCGGCGTGGAGCCCACGTAGAGGATGTGCACCTTGGCGAAGCGCGAGTTGATGCTGCACACCTGCCGGCACAGCCGTGAGCGGCGCGCGGCGCTGYGCGCAGGGCTCCCGCCGCGGCGCGCCTACCTTGCAGGTGACCACGGCGCCCACGTCGGGCAGCAGCTGCGCCTCGGCCTCCCTCTGCACCGACACCACGGGCAGCTGCGGGGCGCGGGGCCGCGCTCAGCGCGGGGTGGGCACCGGCACGGGGCCGC